GCTGGCCGAAGCTGCGTGTGATGAGGGTGCACCACCACGTGCCCCTCCGCGTCCTCGACCCCGTGCCGAGAAGAAGCTGTTTAGCTCGGGCCGACGAGCCCGGCTAACGTCGAGGATTTGCTCGACCTCGGTGGCGCGCTTGTCAGCGGCTTGCCACGTGGCGAAGGTTTCGAGCTCGAGTTTGCGATAGACGCGGGAAGGGATGCCGCTCAGGTACTTGTCGCGTAGTTCCAGGTTCCCATACCCGGAATGGTCCGCCGGACCCTTGAACAGCGCAGAGAATTCTGCGGCGGTGCGCTTCTCGCGCATGGTTTTGTCGGAGCAGAGCTTGGTAAGCTCCACCTGTGCCGCAGCGGCGTCGTCGAGATTGCCAAAACGGGCCTTGAATGCCTGAAGGAAGGCTTTTTCGTCGACGAAGGGGGTGGTCGCTCCCTGGATCCCGATTTGGACGGAGGCAAGCTGGGAGAAGATGGGGGTGGCCCAGGCTCGCGCGTCACCATCGAGGAGACTGAGGGCAACCTGGATCTTCAGTTCGAGGGAAGAGAGGGCCGTGTTGATCGTCCAGTAGATGAGCAACTGCGAGATGAAGCGGTTGCATTCGATCACCGATTTCCCGTCGTATCGGAGCGGGAGGAGGAGCTTCAACGTCTCCTTATCAGGGACTGCAGCAGGAGAGGACATTATCGGCGACGAGGGGGACGAAGGACTGCCCGCGGACGAAGGCGACTGTTGTGACTGTCCGCCGGGCGGACTTCTCTGAGGAACGAGTGCTTGAGCGGCCTCGCGGCGGCGACGGCGGTGAAGCCGGTTGAGGAAGCCCGGAGGCGGGGTGACGTAGGAGAGGGACTGAAGTCGAGGCGGTGACCGCTGACGACGAGCTGGCCCAAGAATGCGGCGGAGTGTCGCGGGGCTCGGTCTTGGGAGGCCTTTCCAACCGCGGCCCCAGGGAGGACTGGGGGATCGCTTGAGGGGTCGCTGTAGGCTGTGCGACTGCCTCAGTTCCTCGAGGGAGATAGGGATCTCCTCGCGCTTGACCTGTACTGGCGACAGGTTGGGGGATGCGGGTGCCTGGCGAGGCAGGTCGGGATGGGACGGGAGTGACGTGGCGAGATGTAGATCTCGAGGTGCCAGCGTACCGGAGTGCAGGGCCGCGGGGATGTTGGACCCGTCGGATTGGTACGAAGTGTCCTTCGTCAACAGTGATGGATCGTGGAGTGCGATTAGGGCACGGTTGCCGATCACAGATGAAGAAGGGAGGTCTGTCTTCGCTGCTCTTTGGGTCGTCACGAGAGACGTCGACCTGATCCTGGGTGTCGAAGGCGTGCTCAAGTCGAGAGCAGTCGAAGAATTCGTCAGCCACGTTGATGGGGGGAGGAAGGGGAGGTGCGCGTGCTACGAAAGGCCGTGCTAGCTAGCTTACACCTACGGCGCCTGAGGTAACACTAGGGTTCGCAGTTCACGTGGGGCCCAGTACTGCTTTTGGCTAGTATGCAGCAGGAACCTAAGCCACGCGTCCGTGAGGACAAGTACCGCCCACTGAAGTGCAGGTACTGAAGAGTTCGTTCCCTTAAGTGGTGGCGATGTATAGTACGCTATCTAGGTATCGTAGGGTACAGTAAGGGTGCGCACCACCCAACCTATAGGAAGTGAATGTGAGTTTGTGGGAGTCCCGAGGGACGCCGGCAGCTGTGGAGAGTTTCGA